ACTGCAAATGACGAACTTGAAAAACTAGGCTAGTTTTTTCAAGATGCGCAAATCGTGACGTAGCTCCTTTAAAGCAAGTCATGTCCTTGAGCTTTCGTATGTAAGCTTTCTCATTAACTGTAACGCTAACTTAACGTTCACATCTGACATGAAAAAGTAGCCGAGAATTAGCTACTGATACTAACAACAATTTCAAAAGAAAGATTCAAGCAAGCTTCGAGCCAACTATCGTTCAAATATAACTACATCTGCCTGTTCATTACAGTTTAAACTCGTCGTAAATTAGGCGCTTATGTGGCTTTTTAAATGACCTGTTGTCATTCTCTGTAATTAACAGGTCATTGTGTCAAATTCGGGATTCTTATTTTCATTTAACATATTTTAGTTTTCCACTTTTATTTTTTATTGATTATCATCTTATAGACGATTTGATTTTTTTGTTTTCTTTTTTCTTTAAAAGGTTTTTTTTTTGGTTCTTTTTTTTTGTGTGTGATCCGATCCATGATCCGATCTGTGATCCGATCCAGGTTTTGTCGACGCCGGGGTGAGGGTAGTTCTGAAAAGAGCTGTTGTTGGTGACTGACGTTTTGACAACCTGAGCAGTCAATGGACTCTGAGGATGACATTAAGTTGTCAAAATGTCAGTCACCAACAACAGTAACTTCAGATAGATCTACCCTGGACTATCACTGACAGTATACAAACTTGTGCCGCATGTGGATTTTGTTTTTTTCTTAAACCTCAACTTGTGCGCTAAATTTAATCTGGATTGAAGTTGCTGAGCATCTAGTTGCAAAACCTCAATTTAGCAACCTTTTTTTTTCTCTTGGTATAACTGAGTCAAGTAGGCATTTTGTGGCTTAAATTGTTTAGTGTTGTTGTTGAGGCCTGTCAATGAAATCATACAAGTTTGTAGGATTCTAATATTGTGTTCTCTCGACTGATACTAACAGCATGCTATAAGTGTTGGTCAAGATATTGAAGGCCATGTTCTGTTCCCTGAGGACAACTATGAAGCTAGTGATTACCAAGAAGAAGGCCCACAACCTGAAGACAAGGTAATTATTAGTAATTATATTGTGATAACTTAAAGGCCATCAACATCTTATGTACTGGTATCTGGTTTATGAAATACAATCATATATCAAATGAACTCATATCTTCTTGTATGATTTCAGTACTTTTTTAGGTATCTAGAGAAAAGCTATGCAGCATTCATGATGGGCACAGAACTTGATGAACTGGGAGAATTTGATGCTGAGTTCATTGACAATATCCGTAAGTTTGTTGACACTAAATACACAAATATAAAGTATGTAAAATGTAAAGTACACTTATTTAATACTCAAGTATTAACTAATTAAGACTGTTCAAAGTTGATTTCAACCCTACACCTCCGAGTTGTACTTTATTTATTTAGTATCATAGTTTGAGCATAAGGAGGTCTGTAGAAGAGACCTCTGTCCAGATCCAGGTGAAAGCCTTGAGGATGATTTTGCCTACCTGGTTTAACCATCTATATGTAAAGGAAAAATGTACTTCCTATAATTTAAAAGAAGTTCAGTTCAAACAGTTTTTCCTCCTGCTGAAAATGTTACTGAAACCCCTGCTGTTACAAAAGTCTCATACCTAGATATTCCCTTCGGTTGGCAGCATTCTCCAACCTGATTGGTTAATGAATATCTTCATTTGTGTATAGCACTATTGATTTAATGCATGACTAAAGTAAAACAAGAATCACGTTTAGTAGGGCTACACAGGTAGTTCTCACACTGCAATATCTCTTCTCAGGATCAAGAAATGCTGCTCTGCTTGAAGGTAACCTTTTTTACCTCATAATGCAACTGACTTCAATTCGTTAATATCATTACACATTTGACACTTTTCAGTTACAAAGTCTTATGATAACAAATCTCACAGAAATATTGAACATGTTTAGGAATGGAAGAACTGATGAAGGAAAGTGTCTCTCGTGAAGAAGAATTAGACACGTTGAAAAATGACTCTGTAAGTAAAAAGAAGTCAGAGAATATTGCTTATCAGATTATGTGACTAATAATCTGTTTTTAGTGTTGTCATTCATGTGGCTGATAACAATCATACAGACAACAAATTATATTGTTGTAACAAGTACAGGACTGTAACATGCCACTGAATAGTACTCATTACAACTCTTTCAGACTCAAGACAACTTTGTTCAGCAATTCACTTTCATTTATACATAACATGTTTTGCAACATTATCTACATGTACGTATAGCAACTGATACAAATATAGTAAAAACTTTATGCAACATGGCTATGTACATGTATTTCGCAGTCACAGCTAAAGGATCATGTGTACTAAAGGCTTCCGCAGTTGAGTGTTGATTGATAACCTCAATTGACATCTTGATCGGTACTCGATACACAGTCAACACTCAATTGACACTTGATCAATTACAGTCAGTTGATAGTCGGCCAAGTGTTGACCTACTCATATACATCAATTGATCAAAACTTAGTTGACTGTCCACCAAGATGTCGATGGAGTGTCAATCGAATGTCAACCGAACTGTCCATGGAGTGCCAATCAAGGGTATCAATGGAGGGTATTGATTGACACTCGACCACAGATGCCTTTAGTACACATGACCCCATTTCTGACAAAAATGTGGCATATGTTTTACACATGGCTCATAAAATTTCTGATCAGTTCTTCGATCAGTACTTTAATTTGTTTATTGTTCCTTTCAAATTGATAGTCACGTCTCCAGACATTGGCAGAAAGAAAGACAACATTGGCTTCTGACAGGTCAGTTTAGAAAATTAACGTGACGTGTACTTTAACCAGCAAATTATTATCCTCTTCGAGGCATTTGGTCAGAAGGGGATAGTCTTTTTCCACCCAGTGCTACTCAATTGTTGCTCTCCAGCTAAGTGAACGCCTGAAACACTAAGTACTGTACAGTGCAACTCAAGCTGAGTAATGAGCTTACATTGTAAATCAAAGTGACACACATTCCCGAAAAATTGAAAATGGGCTTTTTCATATTCACTGCTTTAGACCAACAAAAGACATCAAATTAGGATTGAAATCGATAAACTGTAAAAATACCATTCAAAGATCACCTTTCAAAGTTGGAATTCTTTCGCGCAGTCAGTACTCAGGATCTGGATGGGAAAATCAGGACTGCTGGAGCGTGCACGATTTATGATTAGCCAATCAAATTCAAGGACTTAGGATACCGAAAAAAAATAGTGTCCTTTCAGCACTGGAAAATTGAAGAGTCTACTGTTAAAGCAATTTAATTATAGTAAGACTAACAAGTCTGGCTCACTCCTGTTCCTAGCTTGAACCAATTAAAGTTATAGGGATGAACTGGCTATGATTGCAGGCTACAAAAAAGGAAGAAACCTGAACAGTACCTGAGTTACTCTCACAGTGATAGCTTTTGTTATGCTGTTCCAATCTTGCTGTTGTGGTGATTAACAAAAACTATCAATACTTGTTATAACTCCCAACTCAAATACCTTTTCCAATTGGAGGAGAATGTGCCACTTGTCAAGGGTCAAAACTCGCTGACTCCCTAGGGGTGAACAAAACTCATGAACTCCCTAGGGAAACAACAGTTCGTGAACTTTCGACTCGCACTTTATCGCGTTGTGCACCTTGAAACCACAGCACATTTGTGTGCTAGTCAGCGTCAAGTAAATAATTTTCTTCTCTCTTTTTTTTTTTGAGTTGAGAGATATAACAAAGCACTTAATGATTGACCTCACAGTGAGTTTTGTATCCCCTCAGCTTTGCCTTGGGGAACACTGAGGGCCTTGGGAAACAAAACTCACTGTTTCCCTTGGGGCCTGAGCCATTAAGTGTTTGATGTACAGTGTAAATCAACATTATTGCTTTGCAGAGAAAAGTTTCAAAATTACTTAGGAGACTTGGGCAAACATGGAAAGCAATTACAAGAAAAAAATGATCAGCTCCTGGAGGAACTGCAAGGACTGAGTAAGAGATATTTAGTTTTACCTAAAAATAAGAGTACAGTCAGTTTCTCTAATGTTTCTTGCAGTTGTAATCAAATACCAGTTTATGGCAAATACCACTTGAACTGAGACTGGGATGAGCCCTCAGTCTTTGTCTCTAACTTGCTGAGTGGCTGAATGTGCCATGATGGTGTGCATGCTGGCAGTACAGTGCAATTGTTTTGGGTTGAGTAAAAAAGATTGGCTAAAAATGGTCTGGTTCTGCTAACTGTTTATTACATTATTTTACTCTTTTCTCAAGGACCTACATGTTAAAAGTACTTTTATAATATGTACAAAACTGTGATATTTAATCAAGAAATTCTTCAGTAAAATAAGGTTAATGTGAGTCTTCTTTTTCTTTTGACCTTTTACTGATATTATCCTTTTATTGACATATTTTACAGAAGTGGAACAGGAAGCCGTCACGCAAGAAAATGCTATGCTTCAGGTGAATAATGTTAGACTATCAATTGAAAACATTTGAGGTAGTTGCAGTGGCTCAGTGGTTGGTGTGGTAAATGTGAGCAGTCTAAGTTCCAACCCTGGCTGTGGTCAATGTATTGTATTTCTAGGCAGGACACATTACTCCCACAGTGCCTCTCTCTATCAGTCCAGCCATCTCTCTGTCAGAGCATACATGTAGTATTGCATGACAGTGACAGCACCAGATCTCTAGGTTATGGACTTGGTACAGAGTTCCCGTTAACGCACAGGTGTGCGTCTCATACATGTATGCACAAAAAATGAAAAGGATGCACAGTTTTTTGGCAAAGTCCTTGGGACGCAGGAATAAAGTTCCAAAAATTTCAGTAATAGGCAAAGGACCCCTGAAAAGAAAAAGAATCCCCATCTCTTTGGAACTGGGGGCCCCAAGGACCCTTTACTATGAAGACTAGTGGGAACTCTGATTGGTACTGACAATTAACCCTGCAAGGGATAAGTTAACATCCCATCCAGATAGTGCAGGGGGAGAAGGTTGAAATACTTCTAGTCATTTTTAATTACCCTGTGGAAACTGGGGATTAGCCCAAAAGTTGGAGTCAAAGATTCCTTTTTGGCGAAAACCCTGCTGGTAGACGCAATAGGCACTTACACTTACAGTTAAAGCTTATTGATTTGGTCGATTGTTTGTTTACAGCAAACTTTAAACAACCAAGAACTCAGTGCTGCAGATGTTGAAAGAATGAAGCATGAGAAAAGAGAACTACAGAAGGCCATAGAACAACTGGAAAAGGGAAGAGATTATTTTGATCAACAGATCTGGGAAAAAGAGATGCAGTATGCCAAAAAACACGAAGAGGTTAGTTTAGAGAAGCAAAAGTATTCTGACTAAGTGATTCATAAAATAAAATTGGCATTTGTTCATTTCAATAAATTCCATTCTGAAAACAGTTTCTTTTATTTAATATTGAAATCACAACTCAGTTCAAAACTTGAATGAGATTTGACTACATAGTTGTCTGACTTTGTGTAACAGGGATGTAAAAGTTTGTGTCAACATTACATCATTTAAAATGCACTGCAAATAGCCACCCTAAAAAACACACTTTATTTCTCATTCTGCTCACTACTACTATCATTCTACCCTTTCACAGTGCTGTTCCTGAGGATAGAAAGTTTGGTGTACAACTGATAAAAAAGTGCTCAAAAAGACCAGTGGTGAATGTAAACTCAAAAACAAAATAATATTAAATATTGACCAAGTTTCAACGTTACCTGGTCATGGATACCTGAAATTTTCACCCATCACTATTAAATAGCCACCCTGCCTCAGGCAATGGGCAGTTGAAAACAAACCTGTTTACCAGACTGTGCTTCCCTCTCCAGACTGAGAAGCAGATCCGCGAGTATAATGAGATGGCAAGGAAGTTGAAGCTCATTCCACCATCGGCAGAAAATGCAAATGGAATTGACTTTGAAATGCACTTCAATCCACACTCTCAGAGACCTGACCAGAGAGCTCACATGGACTTCAAGGGAACCATCAAGGTACTTTTCCAGAGGGAAGCCAAGGGGTTTGTTATAAAAAAAGACCTACAAAACTTATTTTAAGTGCTTTTCCCAACAGCCTGCTTTGCTCCGTCTTAAACAACACATTAGTGAGAAAAGTCGCACCACTCAGTCTCAAGTCATCACTGAAGAAGAAGCATTTGATCAGGTAAATTAAGATACATACATGATGGTGTAATACCAATAATCATTGCCAGAAGCATAGTTTTTCAATTTGGACTACTTAAAATCCCTTTCAGGGGAAAACTAGCAATTACTGACATCAAAATGCTCAAAAGAAATTTTGAAAGGCAATCAGAAGTCACTTGCCTATTTTTTTTTTATCAATTTGAAAATAATTTTCAAATTGATTGATAAGTGAAAGGGACTTCTACACTGTATGGTTTTGACCTGGAAGGACGTTTGATGTGAAATGTCACCAACTCATTCCTGACATTTTAAAGCTAGAAGGAAATTTTAATTACTTTAAAATTGCAAGTTGCAAGCTTCCAAGTTCAGAGGCAAAATGATTCTTACCAGCTGCCAATCAAAAGGCATACATGAGAGTTTGCAAAGTAATCAGAGTATATTTTGCAGATAAGTGAGATGGTGTCAGACAAACAAGAAGAAGCAACTGCCTTGGAAATGAAACTACAAGTGTTGGACAAGGATTTGAACTGGAAAAAAGAGGTATCTAACTGTTAAATTTTAGTTAATTAATGAGTCAAACCAATTTTTGCAATCAGGAATGTTCATGACAACTGAAACATTTCTCAGTCTCAGATTAACAGCTCACAGGATGAGCGTAACTCCACTTGGGGAACATCAGAAGATTGTTTTGCAAGTATCTGGTTTGTGTTACTTATTAGGGAACCTGAGTAACAATGACACTGAGGACAATGCCTATCAAAAAATCAATTTATATCGTACAGGTCCTCAATTTTTGCAATTATGATGATTTGGTTTGTAAGTTTTAACTGTCTCAAAACTTGCCCAGGCTAAAAAAAATAATGACAGTATTCATTTTCAAAAGGAACTACAAAAATTTAGCCATCTTGGTTCATGGTCTTCAAAATGCAGAGACGTCAGTCATTTCATTTGTTGGTTGCAGAGGATGGCTAAGAAATGTAAAAAGATTATTTTATAATGCACATGCACAGCCATTGCACTGCTATTATCAAACCTTTTGTTCGGTGACTTTCTTGTCATTCTGCTGCTGGTTTGCTCCTTGATGAATATCTTTGTTTTATTTTATTGGGAGAAATAAATGTGTTGAAATACTCTTTGGCTTATTATTTAGATTATGTCAAAAGAGTATCAGAAAACTACAGGCACAGCACAGAGTTTGGATGAAGGTGTCCAGCAGATGAGAGCAAAAGTACTTGAATATGAAGTGGCAGTAGAAGAAAAGGAAAGAAAACTCAAGGAAGTTAAACTGAGGTACCTTTTGACTTCATTGACAAAATTTAATGTTTTCTGGCAGGCGAAATACTGTGGCAAATGTGGCATATTAGACTCAAAATCTAGCGGTCTGAGTTTGAGTGCTAGCCTGGATCCTTTAGTTGTGTTGTTGAGATGGACCAGCATCTCATCCAGGGGGGNTAAACTGGGATAAGCTCCAGCTGTATGGGCCCCTTGGCCTGATGCAGATTTTACCTTCATCTGTATCATAATGGCAACACTTGCTACATATATGTTAGGGATTAGCAATACAATGGTTGCTTATCATAAAACTACATTGTACCTGAGTGGCAAAGCACCAGCAGCACTGTAGGCCACTTCTGACTTGGTCTAAATTAAAAAATGCGAATGTTCAAAAGGGACTCCATACTAACTGTCAGTTGATTATCTGTACATCAGGGTGGAACAAAGTGTAGATGAACGAGAGGAAGAGAAAGAGGAATATTCCCAATTCATATTGAAGGCATGTCACATGATCATGGAACACAAAACCCTCATTCAGGTGAGAGAAATGTACTGTTATCAGAGCTCTACTAGTGCTGATGCAACAATTGGATTATCAAATCTCTGTGATGTTTTTTCATCAATTCAACTTTCTTTAACTTCAGAATCGAACCCATGAACTTCTTGAACAAGCAGAGGAAATCTTAGAGCAAACCAAACAGGCTGAGGTACCAAAATCATCCACGTCGATTCCAGAACAAGCAGTAGAAGAACAGAGTTAATTTTGAGTATTGTTCAAGAGTGTTCATGTATTTATGTGGCAATCATTAGAACTTAAAGTAGGCATAACTGTCCCTTAAGATGTCAGCATTTTAACTGAATTCAGTATGGTTATCAACTTATGTAACGATTTGGTTTGCTATTATAATTATTTGAGCAAGGACCAGTTCCTCCTGTAGATTATCACCCCAGTAGCCAGAAGCCAGAAGTAGTAAGAGGTAGCTGTGTTCATTGACCACAGCAGAGTACCCCCTTGAATTAAATGTTGTCTTTAACTAAAAATATTCATTGCTTGTCATGCCAAAACTTTGCAATAATTACAAAGTTGTTTTCTCCTTGTGTTCACCTAATGTGAGGCAGAGGGATCACTCCAAATGCTCATAGCATCTATGGATATCACAGAACTACAACCTTGTTCTCAAATGTTGGAAAAAATTCCCCCTTCACCCCAGTTCAAAGTTGGGGTAGAAATTTGTGTCCATCGATTGTATTGGTATTTCCAACATTGAACGGGAACGCAGGGGAAATTTTCAAGACAATATGTCCACGGTTGTAGACCCTGGGGAGGGGGGTACTCCCAGAAAAATTTGATGGGGGTGTGCAGCCTGCTTCCCAAAATGCTTACTCTATTTATGACCAAAACGGCTGAAAACTCATACCCTTTGGGGCTGCACATACCTTTATAGCCTACATAAGGGTGTACCCCCCCCCCCAGGAACTAGGCATTTTTGAATGACACAATCTCACAGCATTTTTTATGATGACAGATATAAAGCTTAGCATTGTTACATGTTCTTTATGAAGTGAAAAGTTTTGTGAATATGTTTAGTCATTTCTTATCAAAGATTAAGTCTTGTGTTCATTTGGTATTATTGTACCTACTTGTTATGACATGTTGAACAAAATAAACAGCTGACCAGCAAGTTTGATAAAAAAAGCTTTTACTTAAGTATTAATTATTGTAAGGATTTTGTTTCCTCTTCACACAGATGATGTTACATGTGTGTGGTTGAATCACTGATAAAAATTTGTAATGTTACAGTTGTTCTTTGACAGAGTTTGGCACCTTCTCAAAAACTAAATTATGACAGTCATCTTTGGTATAAGAATTTACTTTGATAAGAAATGTGTGCTTTGCATTCCTTATGTGTTTCAAAATCTGCTGCATAATCAAGGCTGTGGTCTAAAAAATGTAAGTTTTTTTCAGCCGCCCAAAGGCAAAAGCTAGTTGCCTGTGGCTCCTGCATGCTTCTAAAGCACAGCCCTGATATAAAATAAATATGTTTTTCTGTTTATCATTGGTCAGTGATGATGTGTCAACTCCACCAGACAACAACCATGCAATGATTCCAATTCTGTAGTGGTGTCCCCTCATAAAGCCATAGGTATGCATGGTATTTGAGCACTGTTCACTAGTTAAATGCTAAAGAAAAGTACAGATTGAAATTTTTCTTTACCCAGCCAGTCAATAAATCAAATTTAATATTAACATGTCTTTGGTTCAGTTTTGAAGCTGCTTTCTGGCCAACCTTTCTAAACGGAAAGACTTTGTAGGAAAATTGCAGAAGAATCTGACCCCACTAATGTATTACTGGATAGGGGAGGGGGTATCCTACTTACTGAATAACATACAATGCTCACCTGGTAATTTTTCAACATGTATGCCATTAAACTTGATTATCTTGATGTGCGTGCATAATTTTCTACAAAGTCTTACCTGTAATGTTGAGATCCTCAAACATACTTGTTAATGCCCACCATGCATTTAAAATTCAGTTGTAAATAAAGTAAGACAAAATCCGATAGAAAATCAAGCAATTTCAGTTTTTAGTGGGCAAAAATCCTGCACCAGAATGCTGTTGAGAACATGTATATTAAAATTGTTTCTGCATTTTCTAAAAGCTAAAGATATAAATAATAATTGCCTGAAATAACACCAAAAACAATTTCCCATGGGAACTCGAGAAAATAAATTTAAGTTCAGAGAAATTGTACAATCACAGGCAAAATTTCATCATCAGTTTCACTTCACCAGTACTTTCAAGTGTTTCATATGAACTTCAAAATTTGTTTTTGGCATTTGGTGCTGTTAGAATAGGCTTCTTTTGAGAAGATGTTCAAAACATTCCCACAGAAGTTTGTAATATGGTGCAAATAATTTTGGTACAAAGTTTTTGTCCACTTGTTACTCAAATGTCTGGTGTATTCCTTCTTAATGTACATTTAATATATCTATAGAGGAATAAAACACATTCCTTGTGGGTTCAACTCTTTTACTTGTGCAAATTACTGTTCTTCTGTTCCAAAAACGCAACCTATACGTACACTACAGACAGTAGTGATATGCCCAAATTCCTCAGATCTTGTTGTTTCATTTTATGACTCCTCTTGAGGCTTGCATACTTGTTTTCATGATCAATAATGGTAGGAATGTCTGCAGAACCATGCTCTTGCTTGCATATTTTGCTTACTTCACAAGCAAGACAAGAGATTGTTCCCCTGATAATCACAATTCCATGTTTCAAGCTTAATGTCTATGACTTGAATGATGTTTATGCTCATGTGAAGAATGCTTGCTTTTGTGTCCTTCAGAATGTCTTTGTTTGTCTTGATCATGTTTTGAATATTTTTCTTTCTTTCTTGGAGAATGGTCCCTAATGTGGAATTAAGTATTAATTAATGAAAAAAGAAATGACTTGAACTGGTAGTTTGCTATCCAAAATTACTACCTTGGTTTATTCCATTTATAACAAAATTACTACTAGAAAACACCCTGAAAGAAAGTGCGTGCAAAAAAACAGTTCTTCTGTGGCTCAATAGAAACAGAATCAGCGAAAAGATCAGGCAAATGATGGACCAACCTCATTTGCAGGGTTTCTCATCTTCCCTCCCAGAGCGAGAGAGCTCTGGGAGACCAGGGGAACAAGGTTGATGATGGATGTAATGATAATTGAATAAACATGCAAATGATTTGTCTTCTGTTTTCTTGGGGAGTTTTCAAAAAGAAACAGACAACATTTTACCTGATGTTTCTATTGATTTACAGTAACACTTGTGAAAGTTTGGCAGAACCAAGCTGTGGAATCACTTGTTATGGCTTGTGTTCACAGCATTTCTCATCTCCCAAACTTCCACTCGTGTTTCTAAAACTCAGTAGAAAAACTGAAATATTACAAGTTAACTTACTACTAACATCTATTTCAATACTGAAGCACCCCAGAAAATTATCAAAGAAAGAAAAGGGTACTGTAGATGTCACTCTTGACATTTACTAGTGACACATCACTACAGAGAACTTGTCCATGTGTGATTCTTGGATATGTAGGTTCACCAACAATACTAACATAGATTGTCTAGAATCATATTACACACTCCTGTTTATACACAGGTTGTTGAATACCTGTCTCTTCTGTGCTTGTGATCCCTTGCCTTTGCCAGTGTTTCTGTTTGATGTTTTTCGTCACTGTACTGATCAATTGCAAAAAGCACAGTGTTACTTAATTTATCTTGACTTAGCATTTAAAAGTAACCCATTCACTCTCAGGAATTTCCCCCAAAGCAGCAATTTCTTGCACAATATTAAGCCTTTTTCTGACAACAGACATTGGCTTACTTTATGACTTCTTGAGTGATCATCTGCTTTACTTTTCTTCTTTCTTTTTATTCTCTCATCATCCTCGCTACTACTGGGGCTCCTTCCTCTCTCCCTTTTGTCTCTCGTTCCTCTATCCTTTGGTTCATCTTCACTACTGCTGTAATGTGCCTTTCTTTCATGCCTCCTGTCTTTCTCTTTCTCGTCTGGTTTTCTGTTCCTTTTGTGATCATCATTGTGACTGTGCTTCATCTTCCTTTCTTCTTCATCACTATGGCTTCCACGTTTTTGCTTCTTTCGTTTGTTTTCAGATTTGCTGTTGACATTATGTCCATCATCAAACACCAAATCGTATCTTCATTTACTGAGTCAAGAGAAATGCTCGCATGAGGATTGTAGTCATAGCAGAAATCAAGCAATCAGCTTTCAGTGTCTTTTTGACCAATTTAGCTATTTCATTTATTTTACATTTTCTTGACTTTCGCTGAATGATCAGGGCTCGAAAAAAACTTGAATTCCAACTTGCTCTTGGGACAAGTAGCTCTCAAATTTTGCTTGCCCTGGGCAAGTCATAGTTTGCAACAGTCGAAATGGAGACCATTACAACATTATAAAATGTATGTTTGTTAAAAGGATACCCTGTCATTTCTTTGTGTCCCTTGACAGTGAATTTAGGTTTGTCCTTGTCACTTTTGCTTGGGAAGACTGGTTTGGCTCCTGTTTTATAAATTAAAGCAAATATAAACTTATGGGAAGAAATCAAAGAAAATACAAAGATAGAAATGAAACTGACTTTGCTTGTGATTTGTTCCAATAGCCATCTTTGTAATAAAAACTAAACCTAAATAAATCTCATTGGAACAACATAATTTATTCAAAAATAATGTAGCATGATTGTGTTCTTGATAAATGAAATGTGACGAGTGAACTGATCAACATGACACAAGTGTGTGACAAAAAAAAATTTTGGTCCTTGACAAGACTCGAACCCATGACCTCCCAAACACCAGACTGGTGCTCTATCCACTGAGCTACGAGAACTCATGGAGAGCAAGGTCATTTAGGTGAATTCATATGTGACAGGCATCCTGCATACTGCTAGAATTGTTAATACTGCTCTGTCAAAGTCATCATGAGAAGTGAGAAGTGAGTAAAGATGGTGAATTTTAAGAAGAATATGCATTGTTTTCAACTTAAAAAGTATTCTGTTAATAAATGATGATTGAATTACCCTGCTTTTGAAGCTGGACTTTTGCAACTGACTGTGAAAAATCAACATGAATTCGTCGGTCATCAATGAGTACATTGTCCATTTTAAAGTAAGCACGCTCACAGTCTTCAACCTGGAAAGAAAATGAGAAATTAAATGAATAAAAAAAAAACCTTAAATTTTTATTTGAGTAACTAGAGGTCCTGTAAGTACACCATTATGTTTCTTGCAGTGTATAAAATGTCCCAGCTCTATTCAAGTATGCACCTCTCTTTCTAATTCCTGTAATGCCCTTATGAGAATTAATGTTTTGATACCTAAACCACACCACCTTAAAGTACATGTAAGTTAATTCTGCAACTCATAGCTAATAGGATTTGATTTCAAAATGTATCTTAAGACAAGTAACCTTATCAATTTTATTCGGGCATGTTCACTTGAGGTTTACAAGTACCTTTAGTTATACCTTGTAACTACCCTTCCTTCAGTTTCGTGAACTGTTTACAAAATGATTCACTTACATTCTCAAACTCAATGAAAGCATACTGAAGTGACTCCCCGCTCTTCTGGTCCCGTATGACTTCACAGCTGTAACCAAATAAATAACATCATGATTTTTATGTAAATGAATTGTGTTGCCAAAAGTTATCGATACGTTAAGGTATGACTGAGGAGCCTTTTCTTCATTGTCAAGTTTTGCAAGTTTGAATACCTGCAATGGGCTAATAATGGTTGCAGCTTTCTTGAGACAGAGCTAAACATCACAACTGCACCAAATGTTTGTACCCTCAACTCACTGAAGAGTATACCCAAGAGAAAATCTGGTGGACAACATTTTGATAACATGTGCAAAATTGTTTTAATTTAATATGTACAATTAGAACACACCTTTTAATGGGTCCAAATCTTGAAAATATTATCTCCAGGTCTTGATCTTGAGTGACAGGATTCAATTTACAGACAAAAAGAACATTGTCAGGGGGTTTAATGTCGGCATCGGGAATATCACCAACCTGAAAAAACAAGTTGTAATAAATTTTGTTATAGTAATGTAATGTTGAAGTACAATAATGGATGGAGAGTTTGAAGATGGCTTATTTGAAAAATAGTCATTACCTGACCAGTGGATTAAAAGTTTCAATTTTAACAGGCAAACAACCAGTAATTAATTGGTAACTGGAAGACTTGTTAAGCCTAAAGGTTTCCGCATTGGTTTGTTGTAGCATTAATACATGATCACACTTATTTTACCTGTGAACACACCTGATAGCTACTGACATTAATCTTGGTTGTCATTTCACCAAAACAGTGACAAGTTACACTGCTGGTTTAATGCATCATGTACAACCACATTCAAGGACTGATGTCGTGTGCACACGCTGGCCAACTCTCCTGGATTATCTGGTGATCTCTTTGTTACCTGGACAGAATTTCTCAGTCTCCCATACGTGTCACCAGATCTCCCAGACATGATGGAAAGCAACTATTTTGGCTGATTTTGGGCATTTTGGGGGAAAAAAGTTTGGATATATCAGGAGTTTGAATACTGTTCTTAGCAGGAGGGTAACTGGTTTTCACAGCCAGGCAAAACGTTTTGAATTGAACTTCTTTATAAGAGAAACTTTCCCCTGGACGGTCAAACCAGATGAGCAAAATCATCCTTATGGTCGATCAATTTACCCGGTGCTTGGCTCTCAATGAAACCACTGATACATGACACATTTTTGTGGTTGAATCGATGGAATTCTACTTTTAACAACATTTTAAGGACAAGAAGGTTTTTGAGAAAGTCTGATGTCAATATTTTTTGGTTGGCATCTCTGCACTGTGTTGAAAAAAAAAGTATCAATTGAACAATGCAAGTCTTCAAACCACCAGAGTTTGATCTTTTTAAACCTACATTTAACTCCCTTACAAAATATTAATCATATCAGAGTAAAGCAATATCAGCTTTGTTGTTGCATTCTTTCATAAGGACCCACTACACAATGTATCTGACTAAATTTGGAACATACCATTTCAAGGATCTGTGTGCCAGCCTTGAGCTCTCTTTCTTCAATCATCTCATCAATCTCCTCCATAGTTTTACCCTTAGTGTCATCTATCTCCTCGTCAGCTCCGATGCGACCACTCTGAAAATAATGATAATTCTGTCATGGTACTTCTCAGTATAGAAAGCAGCACGCTGTTTCCAAGGTTCTGTCATACTGTTCTGTGATATTTGTTAGTTAGCTTGATCAAGCTACTTTTAGTATTCAATACTAATCATCACATCCGGAGGTCCAGACTAAATCATCAGAACTCAGCAAACCCAGCCTGTTTATTTGCACTTGAAAAACAAAAGTTTACAATCTGGAATTAAAAGGACCACAAACTTACATCAAGCTGTTCTTTAGTCGGTTCTGGAGACCGATCAGGTATTTTTAGGCCACTCGGATCGTCAAAAGGATCGTCAAGTATTACAGTGTGGTTTATTCTGTGTCAATCAAGAGAAGAGGTACACTATTCAATTGACCTGTGCTGAACACATTCAACAATACATACCACTTAGTATTTTTATCAGAATTTCAGGTGTTTTCTGACTTACAGTACTGTTACTTCATATTCAATACATGCAATCACAACTGTTAACCTGATGTCCTGGTAAGGCCTGTTGTCATCATCACAAATGGCATCATTCAGTTTGTCCAGGATATCAAATCCTTCAACAACTTCGGCAAACACGGTGTGAACACCATCCAGGTAATCAAGATCTTCTCCCAGGGTGATGAAAAACTGAAAGTAGTTTAGGTTATTGTTAGCAGAAAGTTATCATCTCAACAAGGTCAATAGTGTCTGTTGTTATTAATACAAAAGAGACGGAAGAAGTCATACATGATACAAGGACAAATGGCTCTAATTTCACTAGCACAATGTATGAGAACAACCAAGCAGAGAAGACAAACATGCAAGAATCTCAAAATGATCACTACATGACTGTATTATAAAAAGAATTCAATTACAAGAAATAATTAAGGTTTCTCATGATTAACTAAAATGTTCAGATTATGCCAGGTCAATAATAAATAATTATTTAACAAGTATCTTCCCAGGGAATGTTAAAAGAAATTAATTTGGAGCCTAGCAACTTACTTGAGAACCATGCAAGTTATCTCCATTGTTTGCCATGGACACAGTTCCTCTCTTTTTATGTTTTATACGTGGTTTCATTTCTGCTTCAAAGAACTTTGCTTGGTCTCCATAGAGAAACCTTGAGAACATTGACAGAAGCAGTGGTATAAGTATTGCACATCATTTGGTTTTAGTTACCTCCACATTCTAACACCACTGAGAGTAAATATTTTCTCTTTACAAGCTCCAAATTTACTACTGCAGCAATAGCATTGATACCCTTCCAAAGAACCACCTTGTAAATTTGAAAAAGTGGCTATAACTAAAGCTGATCACTGCCAAGAATGGGTTTTCTTGAGCAACTACCAGGACTCGAAAAAAAGTGCTGTCAGGTTGTCTAGGACATGTAGATTCTCCTCCTGGGCAAATAACTTTTCATTCTCACTTGCCCGATAGGTAAGGGACTAGTCAAGCTGTCTGCCAACTAAATCATTAAAAGAGCAAACGAAGACTCGCCCAGGGAAAGCAAAATGTGAGAGCTACTTGTCCCAAGGGCAAGCTGGAATTCACGCTATTTTTTTTTGAGTCCTGACTTCCTACTGAAACAGTAGAGACTGGTTTCTTACAAGAGCTATTAGCATAAGGCTTTGGACATGTAAGAGTATTAATAGCTAATTGTGAGTTTAAGACTTTTGAGTGAAGATGATCTTGGCAGATGATTATTTTAAAAAGGGGAGTTGGTAATTTCCTCAAGTGGTTGTAGCCATTTACGAGAGTGTTTGCCTCCGAGAGATTGAGTTACAAAGCTTGAGTGACAATTTACAGAGAGTTTCATCATGGTGGTTGTAACCAGGGCTGGTTGCTTACTAATGTGGTCACAAGAGGAGCTTTGACCATATTCACTTGAGATGTTGTGGGAAGGAATTAGCAACTAGTTAGTACCTGAAAACAGATTCCCCTCCAGTGCCACGCCCAGTTGGGTCCCCCGTCTGAGCCAGAAAGTTTGGCTACAAGCAAAGAAAACATGAAGGTTTGAAAAATTTGTTTTGAACTGTTTTTCATTGGTTCTCAGCTCACTATGCACTACTGCATCAGCTCAATAACAAGACCATTGTTGGTTGGATCTAAACCTGAGCACATCATGAAAAAAACACACAATGAGAACCCTTTAAAATAAGAACAAACCTTCCAAAGGGAACATTCAAACAAAGAGTTTGTATGTCAAGGGAACAATTTGATAAAATGATACTTAATGTACCATACTTTGAGCTAAAAGTCTGTGTTACAGTCTGTCAAACTTCAAATTGCATTTAAATATCAGAGTTTCAATAAATTTAAAAAAAAAAAAAGAGGCCAGTTATGGTTGCAATAGCTCACATTTTTCAGCAAGGCATGAGAAATTAGTCGTAACGTTGAGATCAAAGTTTTCAACCCAAAGGCACAAGACCAAGACAGGAAGGCAGGAATATTGGATCATGTGTACTGAAGGCATTTGCAGTCAAGTGTCATTCGATACCCTTAATCAATACTCTCGATTGACACTCAATCAAAACTCGATCAATATTCGATCAACACTTCATTGACACCTCGGTTGACACTCCATCGACACTCCATCTACCTCTCAGTTGACAGTCGGTCGAGAATCAACTGATTTTCGATCGGTGCATATGAGTCGGTTGACACTAGGCCGACTATCTACTGACTGTTGATCAAGTGTCGATCAAGTGTTGACCAAAGATCCATAGGGATGTCGATTGAGTATCGATTGAGATGTTGATTGAAGGTATCAATTGAGAGTATTGATGGAGAGCATCAATCGACACTTGACTGCAGCCTTTAGTACACATGATCCGGAATATTAGATGTCTCTCATGTTCATTGATGTCTCTCCTGTTCATTGAATTGAGCAAGGCTGCCATTTGAAAAATTCTAGACAAGTGACAAAATGTTTCGCATTAGCTTCATTAGTTCCATACTGTATGTGACAACTATGTCTTGGACATAAACATCAGGTTAAATTATACTACAGATAATAAAAAAAAACTGGGGAAAAGGGAAAGAACCTACCTGCACAGAATGAAACAAGCAATAGTTATAATACTTTATCTTGCACAATTTTAAAAAGTTGAGACATGCTGAAAATGATAAAAGACAGGTGTTAACCAAGAGGGGTCTTCAAAGAACTACACTAGTCAATACACTGTTGAGTAGGTTCAATTGTTTCTTGTTTGTCCGTTGCTTTGTTTGCTTGCTTGTTCATTTGCTTGTTGGCAGCAGGGAGGTTGTGCTGGATGGGAGAGCTACCGAGGAAATCTGAATTTCAATCAATCTCAGGTTGTCGAAACGTCAGTCACCAACAACAGTTCTTTTCAGAACTACACTCACCCGGACGATCACACTATACGAACTTCATGTGTTTATTAGGAACATCAGTTTGGCTCAAGCTGAAGACGTGCTGTAACTGGTCTCCGTTGGAACACTGACATGCAGTTTCTAAACGGTTTATTTCCAGTATAACACCAAAACTTAACAAGTCGTCACATTCACACAGGACGAATTTCTACCAACCTCGCGGTCTTTCATCTGTGAACAAATCAATCACGATATCTCCCAGAGTCGTTTCAAGAAGAACAGACATCTTTCCTTCACAAAAACCTCCCACAGTAAGAAGCAAAACCAAGTCCAGGTCTTTTTGCTGATGTTTCAACTTTCCAGAGATGGATTCATGGTAAAAATTCTGTTTAGTTAAAAAGATAACTGCATAAAAAGCTGGGTTGAAAAGTTGTCAATAACGCCGTCATGTTGGGTTGCCACGCATGGAAAGTCCTGGGTCCTATGCTATATTTCATGCTGCTTACATGACACCCAGCACTAAAGAGCGGGAGTTTCGATCCTGAAGTAAACAAAATGGCTTCGAGTGAAGAATTTTTTAGTCGTCTCCGTAAGCTAGCTTCCACCGTCGACAAGGAAACCAATGAATTGAAAGAGAATCTGGAAAATTCTGAAAATTCTGCTTACAATGAAAATCGTGCCTGCCTACTGCTACGAGAAACTCTTGCAGAAATTAAAGATTTGAAGGTGAGGTACAACTTTAGTTAGGCTTAAAAATTGTTATTAGTTTTGGAAGTTCCTTAAAAAGGGACTTCCAAATGAAAAACCCGGAAGAAAATCTAATATGACAAAATTCGACGAGGGGTTTTCGTACAAGAATTTTTAAAAAAGATTCGCGATCGTTGTAGAACTGCAACATCCTTTATAGCTTTCAGGAACCTAAACAATATTTTCATGAACCGGTCCTGCAAATCCGTGTAGATCTTCACTTATCGACCTAAGGATTCTCAAGAAGATAGATATATTAAAAAGATCTTCGAGGAACTTTCAAGAATTTTCGCTAGTCCAGGAAATGCTGAATTTGGTTTGTGTCGCTGGTGAGAGTGCACAAAATATTATCAAGTGAAAATTCTGTTATAAACTTTTGTAATTAAGCTGTTTATTTACTCCAATTTTTTGTTACAATTATCAAAGATACTTACCAACTTTGTTAATGTATATCAGCTTGTCTTTTAATTTCGTGTGTCTTCCTCGCCCTCCAGAGAGAAATCAACACCAAAGTTGAAGAAGTACAGCAAAGATGTACATTTGGAAACTTTGTCTCCACTTGTGAGAGACTCATGACTCAAACAAAGGACCAAACAAATGAATTAGAGGCTCACCTTGAAAAGTATGGATACATCAGGCCTAAAGGTATAAAACTATAAATACATTGTGGTAAATGAATGGGGTTGTGTGACTGGCTAAATAATCCAATCATGGAAGAAGAGCAACCTTCTCTGCGTGTAGCTGTTCTAAGAGAGGACTCTATCCACTAAAACAAAAGTGGGGGTGGGGGNAGGGTGTCCAGTGTATAGCATTTTTCCATTCTCAAACAATGGGGGCGTGAACTTCAACAGGAGATCGGCCACCCAGTTTACAAAATTTTATGTTATTATAATTTTTATTTTCTCATCTGAGATTTAGCCATGACTTGTGTTTAGTGACTGGTTTTTGGAGGTGTTGAATATGAATGAATTCCCTGTAATCCCCTCCCAGTTAGCAGTAGCTCTAGCATCAGCTCTGGTAAGTTAACCCACCGTTGGCAGCTCAAGCTGAATGCATGAGAGCCAATTTCAATGTCCCTGATTTATAGTGAGTAATATCAGGAATATTAAATGTAGAAATAGCATCAACTCTGTAAAAAAGAATCCAAGTTCCTTATGGGATTTGAACTCATTACCCTCTTTGTTCTAGCTTTTTGCTAGATCATTGAGGGTTTTGTGTTCAAATCCCATTTGGAACTTGGATTCTTTTTTTCTGAGTTGATGCTATTTCTACATTTAAAATTAACTTTTGTCAAGAGAACAATTGTACCATATTTCTTTTTCTTTGAGACAATTTACCTGATCTGATCCAAGTTGGCTCAAACCTCCATGAAGACAGTACAAGGTGGGTGGCTGGTTAAACAAATCTAATGAACTCATCTTGATAATTATTTTGAAATTTTGCTCTCAGCTTTTGTGAGTTGTTATTCTTTTCAAGTGAACTTTAAACTTATTATTACATGCAGACCTGATATGTTAACTAATACAATGTTCACTGGTTTGATTTTACTCAGTGTTACTATGACAACAAACCACACCCTTTCAAGCTCTGAACAGTCTGACAACACTGAGGGTGTCCCATTTGAGAATGCATCAGATAATGAGCAGGGCACCCCCATGGAAACAAACCAATCTGATCAGATCGAAAACACAGGTGACTGCTGATAATTAATCATGGAGTTAGAGGGATCTATAGAAATTCAGTTAAAGATTATTCCATACAATCAGACCAAAGTTCTCAGGTTTTAGTGTGTAGGCTTCAATTGTTTTGTCGTGCAACCCATTGTTTTTAATAACTTAGTAATTAGATGAACATTTTCAGAAAACCGAAAAAATGTCAAGTATCTTGACTAATAATTATTCCACATGCCAAATGATTTATTTTTTAGTAATAGAAAATGCTGAAGACCTTCTCAAGACTCCGGAGCCACCAGTGACATTCACCAAAATGATTGAAGTTACTCCACAAAGACCATTAATTGGTGCCAAGGAGGAAACTGCACAGGGTGACATTCAACTTACACCTTGCACAACTCCAGAACCTCCGCAAACAACCACACCCATGATAAATTTACGACTGGCCATGGAAAGCACAGGCACCCCAAGTAGTGACACTTCAACACCACAGGGTCTGCCACCACAGCCAGTGACTGTTACACCAATGATTAAACATTCAAATGAAAGAGCCAAGACTCTAACAAGCTCGTCACAAGAAATGGGATCCCCTGATCTACCAGTACCACCCACCATGGGTACCCCAGGGCTCAAGACAATTGTTACTGCTGGAAAAGAATCTCCCATTGCTGTGGCTGAGTTGTCTTTTAATTTGGACAGCCTGCCACCTCCCCCTGACATCAAGTCTGTTCAGATTCTAAAACCAGGTGTGTAAAATCAGAGCTGGGCTTACTGTTGAAAAAATAGAGCCTAACAAACATTTTAGTGGTTTGGTTGGGGCCATTTTGCGAATTGAAAGTCAAGTTTTGTAATTAATAAGTTTTGTTACCTTTGAAGAATTGCTTTTTCTGGAGGGAGGAGTGATTACTTACGGAGTTCTCCAGTAGCTATTAACAATGGTGCCCAGAGATCACTGTAAATGCAAAATTTCTAGACGTATATACATGGTTTCCTCAAAGGACATGTTGTGGTGTTAAAAAAAAAAAAACTATTGTGATGTCACAAAACTTGGTGTGGATCATGTTGCAAACTTTTGAACAGCAAAACCCTGAGACATTGTTACCTGAATTAATGGGCGACAAATAGTCCTGTGTAACAATTACCATTGTCAGAATGTTTCATTATTTAAAATCCTTTTTTACATCATCATTACAGCAGTGAATAATTTTCAATTTGCATCTGTGCTATGAAAGAACATGCCCACATATTTAATCTCCCTTCTCATTTAACAGATGACATTGTGGTACCTCAAGCTGCCTGTATGGCAGATTACAGTCAACATACCCAGCATGTGTTTGTACAACCTCTCAATGAACAAGAGTATAACATTATACCAGTTTATGTGGCCAACCAATTTAGCCTGGAATGCATTAATCAACATCTCCAGACAATTAATGCATTCTTAGCAAGCAATAGTCAAGGTAAGTGCTTGAAGAGGTCATCACTGAAAAAATAATCAACTGTTCCTCTCAGTTTTTCCACAAGACCATAGATGAACATTTACTTATTTACTGCATGTGTTACTTACATCCATGGCATTGCACAAACACCACTACTAAGTGACACCAACCTTTGAAGTAAGGTGGTGAAAAAGATACCTTTGTCGCACCCACCGCAAACCTTTGCTGTCTTTTGATTAACTATTATGGGCTGCCAAAACAGTCGTACATCAATGGTGTCAGGATTTCAACTTTGACGACGTAACAATTTATAAATGTAAATAAAAGCAAGAGCAACAGCTTCTTGCACAAGTTACCTTATTTCAGCATTATGGTCATTTACAAGAATTAACTGTGACATACAACCCATTAACTCTGACTCCATTTTCCTTTTCCCTGCAACATCTTGGGACTATCTTTGTTCCTTCTCTGAAAGAGATTTCACGGGAAAGGATGCTTGGCAAAACTGCACTGATCATGCTTGTATTTCACAAAACATTTTTTGCACTTTAATTTTAGATCAGTCTGAAGCGAGTTCTATTCTTGAGCAGGATCTTAGAGACCTTCTGAGCTTGGGAGCAGCTACAAAAGCATTCATGTTGGCCTTGGTAAAGACAGGGAGGTTAAAAGTAGCTGGAAAGAGCATAATGTTCTTGAACTCTGCATAAAGAACTCAAAATAACAGATGCATTGTCTTACTAAAATAGCAACAATGGACTAGCATTTCATATGTTGTTCTTAGCTTACCTTCTTTCTTCCATGCAATAAGGAAGGAAAATGAAGAAAGAAAGAAGGGTCAGCACTAAGCCTTCATTGGCCTGGTCTTTAAACATAAAATAATGGTGTTGCAAGTTCAAGTACAGGTTTGTTTTCAATTTTTTAAGGGAGCCAGGGCTTGAGATTAACATTTATGTAGAGTACCATAGGCAATTACTTTCGGGTTAGTGAGATTCAGATTTGCCTAGCAGGTTTAATATTTCTACTAGCCTCAGCTATTCTTGTAACATTTTTAAATGAAAATCAAACTTGGCATTCTTGTCATTTGTAATAATCTGCACATAGGAAAGCATGAACAGAGAGCTGAACAGAATGGTATGGAGAAAGCGTATTAATAGTTATTTATTACTTTACTTTAACTCTCCAATTACAACAGTTTTTATTAAGAGTTTCAATTCCAGACGTGTTGAGCTGTAGTGAAGCATGCAAAAAAATTAATAATTATGTCCTGAAAACTGAGTAGAGAAAAATTTGGCAAGTTAATTTAACCACACTTTTAGCAGTGACACTAGCCAGCAGGACAGGTGCATTTAGTTTTGAGCCCTGTTAAGGGTCAACCATTGAACTCTGGGTCAAGCAGTCTTGATCTGAGTGCTGACTAATGTCTGTGTCGTGTTCTTGGGGAAGAGTTATTAGACACTTAACATTCACAGTGCTTCTCTCTCATCACTCTTTGGCCAAGAGTGCTTATATGTATAATCAAATACTGGCAAAGCATTAGAGCAACCTGATGAAATATGGCTCTGTGCAGACTTTGCCTCTTCGTAGCTTGGATTTCTAGAAACCCCTTATTTCTACAGGGTAGGTCGGAAGATTGGAGATAGTTTTAAAATTTAATTGTGTAAGTTGGTTCTGAGAATATGGTAGTATACTTCACAACATTATTTTGTTGACTTGTTTAATCACTGTGACATTTAGACTTTGTGTTGTTAATGCAAGAGGAAGGAGCCCAAAGTAAAGTAAATGTGAAAGGACTTCAGAGAAGCACCGTTTAATACACTAAAGAATGTTCCTACAAACTGTTGCAAATGTTAATTTCTGCATGGACAGTGCTCATTGTGTTATTTCTGTTATCAAAACATTCTACAACCAGGTGTTATTTCTTCTTTTTAACTTTGTTTTTCTGTGGTGATGTTTCTGTAGTGTCCAGTTGTCTTTTGAGTCCTTTCATTTTCCTGGTTTGTAGCTTGCCATAGTCTTGTCGTTGCATGTGCACTTGCCCTTCTTTGGTGCCAAATGCATCATATGACATATTCTTCACTTTCTTGGGCTAGAAAAAAAAAACACAAATCCTGACACAATTGCACTGCACATAACAATAAAATCATAGGATCTTTATGATGAAAAGAGACTTTGTCATACAGAAACAGCACAATAAACTGTTTTCTTCACGAGTTGTTTATGATCCCGAAAATTAATCCTCCAAGCATTTTGACCCATTGAACAGTTGTGTGGAGCACTGAGCACAACAAAACATTATCACAACAGTGAACTCTCTAAGGCAGATATCATTGGGAGCAGAGCTCTCTATCTGTCTGCTTTAGACAAATCTCCAGTATAGAAGACCTCAGCTGCAGAGAAACAAGTGAAATTCAAATGGAACAAGCGAGACAACTATGTCTGCCTAAGGGAGGAGTGTGCCTTATGATGGTGTCCATTTGTGAAACTTGTTTAATGCTTACCTTCACTACCCTTGGTACTTTTGTAGCAGCTTTCATTAAATCATCTGATGCCAAATGCGTTCTTCTTAGTACCAAGTCTAGTGATGGGCCCATTTCTTCAACCTCAACTCGTGGAGTACGGCTTCCTGATTTCTTCAACAACACTCTGAAATAAATTTAAACATTTTTCTTGTTTGGAAACAGTGGTACCGCCACAGGCTATCAAAACTATAGTCATGGTACCACCTAGTAAATTGATAATGGATCTTATGTGCTTTGGAAACTAATATCGCTGACAACAGCTCTCCTTGAAAATCAAGGCTTCTATAAACTTGGAAAGCATTCATGACCATTCACAAAGTTACAAATTGAAAGGTCAATCCCATATTTGCTGCAAATGCTTTTGGTAAACCATGAGAAGCAAAGTTTAATAGTCTAAGAGCTTTTGTTAATATTCATACCTGTAGCTTCTCAGATAGATTTTATCATCAACAGCTGTAAATTGAAGCACATGTTCTAGTCCCTGTAACCTAACTTTCTCTATTACTGGTCCTCTGTAAAAATCTGCAAGGGACAGCAACAATATTACAAGACCATTATAATGTTTGTTGGTATTGTAAGATCTCTTTACCGTAATATGTTTGGGTCTATTCTTGATGCTGACTTCATTTCTCAAACATTAGTGATGCTCTAGTAATCATTATTTAACCAGCATACTCCTTCAGTTTTACAATTTAACACTCTATCAGTAAAGGTCACGCTAAAGAGATAAAATTTGACCATATTTTTTTTAAATTATGCAGGTACTCCCTCATAATCTATGACCATTCAGCACCATGACATGACATGACATGACATTACTGTGACAATGCAAATGTTTTAACCCACCTATGAGAATACTCTTCAATCGTTTGTAGGTTGCATCATTTTCAAAAACTTGCCCAGAAAATAGCAAACAGGGTTTTGTACCAGCTGAACACTTGCGAGTCTGCAAAAAAATATAAACGCAATTCTATCTCCTTTAATCTCCTAGCTAACTCCCTAGGGCGAACAAAATTCACCACTCCCTAGGGAAACAACAACTTGAACTTTCAACTCGCACACGATCAGGTTGTGCAACTTGAAATGTTGGCAGATTTTTTTTTCACAGTTTTAACTCTTTTGAGCTGGGAGGTATAACAAACACTAAATGACTGGCCCCATATACCACAGGAAAGATTGAGTTTTGTTTCCTCTCGAGCTGACATTGAGGGTCTTGGGGAAACAAAATTCACTGTTTCTCTTGGGGCTAGTCATTAGGTGTTTAAATGACTTCTCAGTCAATGTTATAGTCAAATTTTGGTGTCTTGTTAGTGGTCAAACTAACAGGGATACATTGGTCCTCTACTATGCGTTACCAAAAATGTAATGCAAAAATGTCTTGCAAATCTAATTTATAGTGGTCATGCACTTAGCTTTACAAGCACTGAGCTTAGCCTGTTTACAGGCATGCCACTGAAACAAAGGAAACAAATATTTCAAATAAACATAACACAGTTAAAAATCCCAACTGGCAGGAGGCAGTGCTCTGTTTTAAGTGGCTGTGCTCTTTTTTTCATTGTTATTTTTTCACATTGCATGTATTTATTTTTATTGTAAAATTTTTCTGGGCACGAAATAAAGATTGTTGTTGTTGTTGTTGCAAACCAGATTTATATTAACCATGTAACCATTAACCATGGAAGTCTCCAATACTTATTCATACAAGTAGATAATGGTGTATAGGCAAAAGAATTTGCTTAGTATTTGAAAAAATATATATATATATATGCTCCTCTAAGAGTTGGGCGCTTTTTGAAATCCATTCACCACAAGGAAATAGAATTTTTATATATATGTATGTATGTATG